AGTAAACCGTTAAAAAATAATAATAAATACCGATTATACATTGTTGATACATTATACAATACATATTTTACTATACCGTTATATTTATTAATTATCTTGTTTATTTTCAATATTCATAATGCATATGCATAATGCATATAAAATATACTCATTCATTCATTAATGATGATGAATTATATATATTAATGATTACTTATTTAAATGTTGTATTTATACTTAATTGATGTTTAAAAATGTAATAAGAGAGGGAGAGGTATATGGATAGGCAATATTCACCGAAATCAAAGGCAGGCTTGAAGATGGCCTTAATAAAATAAAATTTGGTTAAATTGTAATATTGTACTCAGAAATTTATAAAATACTCGCAAAACATTTTGGACTTATAAACTGCATTTAAGATATTTTATAAAAAAAATGTTACGAAGTAAGTTATTGAAAATTTGAAAGCTTTTATAGAAATGCACTATAAACAACTTTATATAGTTACTACTTTCTAGGTGTGATGTTAGCTTGTTTGCCATCCTAAGTTGAATAAATAAATGCACCAAATTGAGAGGTTCCATTTGAAAGATTATACTCCTCATAATTATAATTTAGTATTATTTGGATATATAATAAAACATAGTTGTATAAACACAACTATATATAGATACAGATATAAATATACAGATGATAATTTTTTAAAACGTTAACTGTCCACTGTTGAACACAAGCCTTCCCCTTAAGGGGGGTTTTGCCAGTAATTGCCACGCTTGCCAGGCAGGTTGGCAACCGCAGTCAGGTTTTTAGAGATGTTTTAGGAGGGACGCTGCTGTCAATCCCTCGACCATAAGTCTTAGTCGCTTTTACGACACCTACGGGAAAGGAAGGGGTAGCCTAGACTATACCGGGACACACATGGCGAAATGGCAATACAAACCTTTAATACAAAATCAGGACCATAAAATAAATAATTTTAATATTGATTTTGTTTTTTTTACACACACAGCCCACCTAATGGAAAGTGGTAACGTCGCCTATAGACATGAGCAGTACCATGGACATAACAGAGTATACTGTTTCGCCCATGATACCCCCCATGCGTTGCCATTCTTGAGGACTCAGGTGTTATTCCTCTGTACCCAGTAAATTCACGCCATATCCCACCCTTCAAACCGAAACACAGCCATGCAAACACAGCTACTTCATGGTTAAAACACGAATATTGGTACCAAGCAATCGACTTTTGTATCTGGTAATTTGGTACATGGTATTTAAGATTATGAATATTAAATATCATGTTAAAAGATTAGTGATATATGATTGGTTTCTTATTACATAATAACGACTTACGTAGTTTTTTTAAACTGAGATTGATTGATACAAGAAATAGAAAATCACATTAATTTTACTTTCACGTGATGATAAACGGCCGTAAAATATTTTAGTTTCTACAGGATGAGGAGTTACTATTACTGAAAATGTTGTTAGAGCTTAATCATAATTTTTTCATCCATTGACTGTCCATTGTTTATCATATAGCTTCCTCAATAGAATCAGTCTTACTCTGAGTCGATCGAACTTCTATTGACTTCCTGCAACACGTTTGAGGTTGTCGCTCGGAAACTTACTTCTTCGTCGAGTATCAGTACTTCTAGATATATAGCTGGGCCATTGTCACTTTTGTCACAAAGCTTTCTCTATATTCTTAAAATGTAACTACTATTGTAAATTTTTGAGTTTGTCTGTTTGTTACCTTTTAAGGCCTTAACAGTTTAACCAAGCATTATCAAATTAGATATACACACTCTATAAGAAATGGAAAAGGATATATGCTACTTTTTAATTAGTGTCAGTGAATATATTTCGGTCACGCGAATTAAGTCGCGAATAAACGCTACTTACTAAATAAAACACTTTTTTAAATGACTTTTAACCACGACGCTACTATAAAAGATCACAGTATACTTACAACCTTACTTTTTATGCAACGTAGGGACGTCAAGCACACGCATTCTGTCTAGACGTAGGTAGCAAACGTTATTTTAAAATTGCGAATATCACTACATACTTAGATTTTTTACACACCGGTGACTATGTTCACAATATAACTCGTTTCCTTTAAATCTATTATTTTACTCGCTTAGATATTTGTTATGCAGATAAATCACGTTCTAGATAGGATAATTTTTGTCTTGAATTATATTATTTTAGTGAAAATAAAAAAAAATTATACCACGAAGGTGGCAAACAAGCATACAGTTTACTGATGATAAACGTTCACTGTAGCCCAAGAATACCTGCAACACCACGAATTTCACGTGCGCGTTGCCGACCCCGAAGGAATCTTAATATGCCCTTTTGGGGGAACCTGATCACTGTAGTCTCTAAGAAAAACTACTACATTTGCTTATATTCCGCATTTATAGTTTAATTTTAATGCCATTTATAATCTCCAGAGAGTCAAATATAAAATCAGTGGTAATGGTAGATATTGGACTTGTTAGGTTATTTACAGTTTCCTAAACAATCGGTTACCATTATAAGTACCGTTCAATAAATCAATGATCCTGAATGATTGATTTGAAGTGACGTCACTCAAAGAGAGGACTGTGTCCGTACAATATGAGAAATTTCCCTGGAGTGAATGGAAATCTCATTATGAGTAAGTCCACATGTGCGCTTGACAGGTGAATGATTTCATATATTCGTTTATACCTCGGACATAATAATATGTATGTTCAAAATAAGAGTATAAAAGTGGAACTGAAATCAAAGAGATTTTTTTCAAGGAAAGTAACATATTTGTATATTATTTACTTATAACTGCATGTCATGACAAATCTGAAGGTAAATAAAATATTTACCATTGTGATTTATTTATTATAATAATTTAATATTATTAAACATCGCACTATCTTATTTTGTTATTAATAATATTTATAATTAACATACAATCATATTAATTGTCTGATTCACAAGTTATGATACCCTATGTTTTGATAAGTTATTCTCTTCCAAATCAAGAATTTTGATTAAAACAAAGACACGAGTGGTAATTTTTTTTTAAATAATGTAGGTAACTAAAACGTGTCTCTGAAAGCAAATGTTAAGTATATATTCGATTTATCCAGTGCTGAAGTCAGACAAGAATATGAATATTCAACTGCAATGTGCAGTCACACATTATATTCACGATAACAAGGTTCGTCAGCAAAATAGAACGGCAGTCGTCTGCTTCCAACGTAGGCGCTGCGCTAACAGATTGTGCCTAGTCATTTTCTTTTGTTCTTTTACTTGGCACGTAAGAATTTTGCGATTTTATTTTTTTAATATAAAAAGTAAAGTAAGCTTACGAACTCCATATAAAAGGAAGTTGCCTAAGAATGTTTTCAAGCAGACAAACTTTATGAGAGTTCGCCGAGTACGTAAGCCTAAAAGTAAAAACTTAGGCAACCGTTAGATTTAGCTGATTTCCACTTTGCAGCAGAACTCGCATGTTGCTACTTACGAGGTCTTCAACTCCCAAATCCGGATCCAACAAGTTCAATCCGAGCTAAACAAGTTCCAACTGAAATAAGCAGCCGTCGCACACTTGTTTCCTTACGCCTGAGGGATGAGAGAAAAGAAAGAAAAGTGGCGGACCACCCGGTTATCCGTATGGGTGCATATGCAAGGGAAAAGCTGGGCGGGGCGGCCGGGCAAATCTCGTCGGTTCAAAATGAAGTTACGGATTCGCACAGAAATTGTGTTTTATATTTTTCCTCGGCATATGACGCATGAAAAAAACTTCGAGATAGTTCCTCTTTTATTAAATGTGGATAGCGAGTCGTTCTGCAAAATCGGTGAATAATATCCTTTTCGTTCATTGTTGCTCATATATGTATGCATTAATGAAAATTGTACATTGTATTATAGATAAAACTTTGAGGAAAATATCTAATCGAATAGTAAGAGTAGGATAAATACCAATATATACGTATTGCCTACCTTCATTTAATGTCGATAATCTTATTAACATCAATAAGAAATTCAGGTACAGGCGGACTGAGATAATACGAAGAATACATAAGTAGTTATATAATTATGCAAATGACTACCTATTAGGTTATGCTTTTAGTAATGTATACACTTCTCTACCTGTATATAAGTGATAAAAGAAAGTAAAAGTTTTGGTGTAGTTGTGGCAAGCTGGACATCTTTGCATTTCGCTCCAGGCAAACAATTTGTCAAAGGCCTTGACTATAACGAAGGTGGGCGGCAGTAAAAATGAAAGTGTACAGAACTTATTCGAACCTATTATTATTATCTATTGTATTCACATTATCAAGGTGTAGGCAACACCTGCCATGCAAACTGCATGTAGGTAGGTAAGTTGGTATCAAATTGACACCGAGTGAATTGTGACATTGATAGAGTTTTAGTTTTGTAACAATTAATACTATTTGTCACGAACTCATATAACCAACCACTTCGTTATCTACATTCTTATGAAATTAGAACCTATTTCGACAATTGCTTGATAAATTACAACAGTTTAATTAGTAGCCATTTTTAAATAAAACGTTAATATGAAAAGTTTTTATTACAATATTGTAGCAAAATAAACATTTAAAGTACCACTAGAGGTCATAACACAATCATAAAAGTCGTTGACCCAAAGCGGTTTCGAAATGTCCACAATGTGAAGATTCTCCAAAACAAGTATTTAGGTATAACAGTAAGCACACGGTTTAGACATCAACGGCCATAGACATCGTACTAGCTCGTTTATTACGTATTTCTAAACATCGACATTGCTGAGATAGTCGAGTGGAGGCGATAGGACGGCGACTTGAGTGGCACGCCTCGCTCTGGACGCACGCTTCTCGATTCTGATATTATCTTAAATAGGTACAGGTGTTTCGAAAAGTTATATAGACTTTAAAAAATTATTAACTACACTAGTGTTTTTTTTTTATTGTTGTCTTCCTTTTGACTATACTTATATTAGTAGCTGATAATGTTTTCTTTTGTTTCAGATGTCATCGAAAGTGAATTTGTTTGCTTGAGTGATTTGACTGTTGAACAAGAAAGAGTTTTACTCTTAAATAACGGACAACTGTGTATTGAAATGTGAATTTTGTGTTCAAAGTGTTTAAATCTAATTTGCTACGTGTGTAAATGTTGTTTATTTCCCCGATGAAGTTTCACGTGTAACTCGACACTTCTCGCAATTGGTTTTCTGAAAATCTCTCACCATGGAGACGGAGGAGCTTACAAAACTTGTCGATGGAATATATAAGGTAAGAATTTTTCTGTGATAAATAACTTTGTCTTTTTAATAAAATTGGTAATTCTATCCCCCAAAGAATTGAAGTATTCTGTCAAAAAGCTAAAAGTCAGTAATAACATATATAATATTTTTTAATACTAAATTTCGTTGTTGTCTTGTTTTCTCATCTGATAATTTATCTATTATTTTATTTGATTTACACCTAATATAGATAACAACCGTAGACGGTCAGCTTGTTTATAATATAATAAAGACCGTAATTTAATAAATACTTTGTAATATAAAAATAGTGTTTTTAAGTAAATATGGTAAGTATTGTTTTACATTGATAAAATAATTTATTTTCAATATTATTGTTAGATAATTTGTCTCTCATTCATCAATATGTCCACGGGCATGTTAAAATTACTTTTGCTATTACATCGGGCTATATTAAGATTATATTTTATTTTGTATAAAAATATTAAGATCGATATTATGTTGTGTTTTATAACAAAACTGAAGTCTATTCTGTTGTATTTTGGAATTATATATGTATTACAAACGAAGTACCAATATTGGAATTTCATAATGCAAATCAGTGAGTATGATATCAATATTTATGTAGGGATTCTAATAATGAAAATAGACATATACTCATATTAATCACGTACTGTCATCAATCAATTAAGTGCCTACATTTGATTCATATATTAGTATTATATCACGACTAATTAGTAATTGCAACATTAATTTTAATTATTAGAATATGTCGTATCATCGTTCTTATGAAAATCTGATTATTAAAATTAGACTTATTACTTTTTTAAGGGAAGGATATACCAATTAGATAGTTTTATTATTTTATATTGAATAAAAAACGAAAAGCCCGTTGTGTTTAATTAAAGGAATTCTAAATTTGTAAATATCAATTTATTCTATAGGACGAATACACCTGCCGTTAAAATGTGAAGGTCACGCGGTCAGCCGAAGTTTAAATGTCGATTATAACATTCCGACGTTACAAACTTGAAATTCGATTTCTCTACCATGATTATTGTATAAATATGGATATTTATCGCATTCCTTCATAAGGGATATCAAGACTTTCCTTTTGTTGATTTTTTTAAGGTCATCACAACTGGTTTTGGAGAAACGCTCTATCTAATTATATAATTTACATTGGGCCTTATTTAAAATTCGTGGAACATGAGTTTCTACTAAGAACTAGTATTCTTCAATGGAGTGATCCGACTCGATTCGAGTTCCGGGTTCAGTTCTCGCCCAGAATTAAACTTCATGTATAATTTATAAGAGGTATTGAGGAAAGAATTGTTGGTCCGTCACAAAGAATTTAAATTTTAACGCGTTAATACCGTGAAAAGTGGGTCCAAACGGCGACCGTCCTTCACGGATTTCATTGTAATTTCTATTACTTTTTTTATTGACTGCAATATTTCCACGCATACACTTAAAATTCTCTTTGAAATATGACGGCATGAGTGTATGTCGAAAAAGCCACGTGATTCTCAGAGATAATGCCATTATTAATAACTAACTAGCATTTTTTTATTTCAAAGACTTTTTATGAGATTATAATTACTATACATATTTTTTTTAATATAAAATTTGCAATAATAATTATAACTATTCTTTGTGACTTTTTAAAAGTGACTAATTAATTACAAATTAAGTAGTTCTTTCGTTTTGATTCAATTATAAAATAATTATTTGTTTTTATTATTGTTTAATTATTAAAAATTACATATATATTTTTGTTTTAAATGTGCAAGAAAAAATCTCTAATCCTAAGTGGTTTCTGAAGTGTTCTCTATTCATTATTTTTATAATCAATAATTTAAGTTTTTTTTTTCATTTATTTAACTAAAACAAGATTAATTAATAATTCAGACAAGGTTTAGATAAAAATATTTTCGTGTTCTAGTGGCAAAGAAATGTCTCTCAATGTTGATATTAAAATGTGAAAGAAGGGAATCTAAAATAAAAGCAAAGTTATGAATGAACTATGGACATAAAATTAATAAAAGTATTCCTTATTGCATCGTACAACTAACATAGTTATTATTAAACGACATATACGTTATGAATAGGTATTCTACATTTTACATACGGTTTTTATGATTCTTAAGTAGTTTAATTTAAAACTGTGAAATTTCTGCGGTCGTAGACTTATAGACCGTTAGCTTATAGAAGTGAACGTTGTTATTATGTATTTTTTGAACGCCTCTTGTGTATGATTTATTGAAATAGTTGAGATATAACTTACCACGAAATTATTCTTTTAACGATTTTACAATATATTTATTAGTAAGTTTTTGTAGAAGTCTTTTGAAGATTTTCTTAAATTATTTATTAACTTCGCTAACACAAAAGGTATTAAACCTTAATTCTCAAAAGTGACTGTAGATGATAAGTAGCATAAGTATTTATTATTTTGTGATTTCTGTTGTTGTATATAATTATTTATAGGCGACAGTTACCACTTTCCATCCGGTGGGTTGTCAGCTTCCCGTTTCTAGTAGCAGATATAAAGATAACTCTTGCATAATAAGCGATTATTATTTAACTTTCACAGTCCATTAACACAGAAAAGGTAACATTATTATTGTCTATGTAGACGATAGCGAATGGTTAACCTGGATTCTTCTGACACTATTTAAAAATAGTTACTAAAAATTGACTATGTATAAGCTAATTGGTAAGCAAAGAGCACTTTGCGTTGGAATGCAGACCCGCCTGTAGGTGAAGTCATCACTTTTCACATAGAAAATCCAAGATCATTTCTATATGAGCAAACTGAATAGGTATTTGAACTTAGTATGAGAAGAGTATAAATAAAAATCAACTGTCTTTCATATGGCACGGGCACGCTAACATATATTATCCTCATTTAAATAATACCAATTTTGTACTTTATTATTCCATACAGAAGTAAACGAGCGTACAGCAATTAGTTAATTTTCATATTTCCGACATTTAATCCAGATGTATAATCGTTAATGACGCTACAACATTGTAACAGTTTCGTTGAATATTTATAATATTCTAGTGAAAGTTATGATCGAATTTATGATCGAATCTACGTCTAGATAAGTTAATTGGATTAACATGGCATAAGAGATTATTATATTCGTACATGTATACGACATTATTACCTACGTGTTATAAGAGAACAATTAAACAATTATAATATATATAGATAGGGAGGAAAGGGATTGTTCGTTATGGAGAGTGAGAATCCCATTGCTAGCAATATACCCTGGAAATTCATCATGATGGGATAACTGGCCTGTTTTCATTCTCATCTATCACCCTTCACTGGTACTCCGCCGGCGTATCTCGTTAGCGCAGGCGGGGTTACCATACCATTTTCATCCATCAAAAAAAAATGTATAGATAGATGAGTGTTTGTTACTGATCCATGCAAAACTACTAAAAAAAATTAACGCAATTTGGCACTTTTGTATTTGGTAATTTAACACAAAATATACTTTATGTACCTACTGATTTTCGCGGGTAAAGTTACGGTATACAGCTAGTGAATAGTATCAAAATAATTATATTTATATTTAAGATTATAAAAATATTTTAGTCAACATTGTTTTGATTTAATTATATCATACACAACTTATTATATATACTAGGAAGGAGTCAAGTTTTTATCCACATGACAAAAAGACAATCCAATTTTTAGTTATCCTCTGCTCAATACTTAATTATGAAAGATATGCATGTAATATAATAACTTCGTCTTTGTGTTTTATCCGCCATAATATAAAACTCATAGAGTAAGTAATCACCACTAATAGAATCCTTAAAAACACGTTACATATTTCTAAAAGTGTGGCAATGCAATTTTTTTTGATCGATAAGCAAAAGATCTTAGCCTATACAGCCTTATGCTATAAGCTTCTTTACATCAAACTGTCAGCTTGTTTGACTCTTAAATAATAATAAAAAGGTATAACACTTTCAGTATTTTGTATATTTTATATATAGTGCTTGTCAGCTTATGACCAGATTGCATAAAAACTATGTTCATAATAACCGACATAAATAAGTTTAAAAAGGTAATAAGAATCCACTCGTTTATAAGTTATACTTAAAACAAGAAATTCATTAAGTTGTGAGTATAAATCACTATAAAATATTGTTAATTTAAGCGAAGTACAGATAACGCGTTTTACTTAGAATACTAAATAATATAGATAATTTATATTTTAATCGACTTAAATTTTGTACAATTTAGTTTAATCGCACGTAGATTGCGTAAATTTGAACATTTATAGCTCATTTTAGCTACATATTTATTTTTATCACAAGTTAAAGTCAGTATTTACATATAAATTAAAAATTAAATATACTTTGTTAATAATTAATATTTTTGTTCACATCATCAGTGTACTAAATATAAGCTAAAATCCGTAGCTTTCACCGAGTGATTTAGGAAAATTGCTAAATTTGACAAATCAAAATATGGTTCATCTGTATACGAAACATTCAAACCCATTCTGCTGTTTAAACGTAATTGAGTAATAAAGAAAATATATTTAGATACTTGTACATTTATAATAGTAGGGTAGATATTTTATATTGAATTATAACTTTATATGGGAAAATTCGATTATTAAACTTAGAAATTTTCAGACGAAGTCAGTAAAGCTTCTCATTACATATTTATCATGACAAGTTCTTTGCGCTATAAATTTTATATGAAAAGGCTTATCGTATTATACCAATTTATTAACTGTCATCCTTCTTACTCTGAAATCTGAAAATAGTTATTTGAAATTGTACCTATTATTGGTACTAGTATACGTATTTAACTAAGAATTTATTGATATTGAAAATTATTAAAAAATAATAATATAGCATTATAATAAAAAATAGAAGTTTCAATCATGATTATCGGACTAATACAGGAATACAGCCAAAGTTGATAATGTAATATTATCAAAATCAATTCAGAATTAAGAAAACAAATGAATTGAGTATATCTTCCTTTTTGAG